TTTTATCGGTTGAATTTCAACCGCTGGGCGAACACTAGTATTATTAAAAGCCCCATCGATATCAAGAAAGGCACCAACAGCGAATCCCTTCTGCAAAAACGTCTACCCGAAACTCTCAACGACTGTGTGTAGAGCCGTTTCAACAGACTTGCCCTTGGAGTAGGCATGCTCATACAAGGAAAGGCGCGATCCCGTTTCTTAAGTGCAGATCGATCAGCCTCTGCAGCGTCTTCAAAAGAAACGAGGAGAGACTTAACGGCCTGAAGTCCTTGGGAGATACATGAGAGGCTTTACGACTAGACTAGGAGCAGGATCCTACGCGAGATATGATGCTGATATCATATGTCTTGTGGCGCGAAACAAAGAACAGAAGATACTGGAATATCTCAACAGCCAACACAGAAAAGGCACCAATGAAGTTAGGAGGAATAGTAAACTACTTCGACCAAGAGCAGAAAAACGCAGAGTTCAGACATTTAATAACGGTAGTTGAAAGAACTCCATTAAGAAAAGAAGCGTACAAAATATATAATACCGCAAAAAACAATGGATGTAAAGAAGGCTTGATAAACAAGGCTAAAAGAAACATAGAAATATAAAAGGGCGGCACAAAATATAGACATGTAGCTGATTTTACTACCAGCAATAAAAAGGAGCAAAGGTGTAATATAAAACCTGAAATTTGTCGAGTCTGAAGAACTATGCGTAGAGCTTATGGCAACATGCTCACACAAATTTATTGTATGTTATTATTATTTATAGCTTAATCTACCTTAACTTAAATTATGTGTAGATATCAGAAAACAATGAATAGCTTATTATTAATGTAATTCAAAAAATAAATAAACTTATACAAATATTTTGATTCGAGTAACTTTATAAGAGTTAACTTTTTATATACATATGTATCTACTTACCGTTAGTGCAAATGGTATTGTCGTAATTAATTCTAGAATGAAATGAAACGAAAGAATCTGTTGCCAGATATTTCCCTGCGAATAAAAAAAGAAATGTTAGAAATTTATATAGAACGCAAAAAAATAGGGTTGCAATATAAGTTTTTAAAATGGTAAAGGGCTGAGAGAGCTTTAACCTGTGCATGTCTGTACAAATTGTATGGAAGGCTTAAAAAAACCCTGCACGCTAGCATTGAAGAGCTTTCAACAAAAACTACAAGAAAATACGGAAATTTTGACATCACGATTGTGGTCGTATTTTCAATAATTTTTGAAACCATAAAAACTCTTGCCAGCTACAGGAAAGATCTTTCATATGGTGTTTTTGGTTTCAAAATCGTTTCAGTAGAACCGCCAACCCAAGGCCAAATCTTTTTCTTGCTTTTTACTACTTTCCTTATTTCATTGACTTCCACCTTTACTCACCTTATAGCCTAGATATGTTAGTAGTACTGCCTCCGTTAGTGATACTAATGCTAAAATTAATTGCGCTGCCCACAGCACTGTGGGCCGATTCACCCATAATATAGCCTCCCAATTGATAATAGGATTCTCCTGGAATTCCTCTTCGGTTAGTTGAGCCGAAACGAGAAATTCGGTTTTATTGCTCACTGAGCAGCCATAACTAGAAGAAGAAGAAAATATGGTAAATGAATAATATATTTATTCAAATGAAAGTAAATTTCAGGTTTTGCACAATTGCATTGTACTTTTATTTTAGTTCTCTAGTAGTTTAGTTTAGTTCTCTAGTAGTTTTTCATTCAATTTAAGTTTTAAAATTTTTCTCTCTTTAGTAGCAGTTTGCCGTTTATTAGTTTTCTTTTATCTGCTTTAATTGCATTTTATTTTTCTATCAAAATATTAATTATTTTACTTACCATGTTGCAAATGTTGGATTCGTATCCGTTATCACACGTAGTATATACAGAACACATGCTAGTAACTTAAAAAACAAGTCGGCAACTCGTATTCGTAGGCCTGTAAGTACAAAAGGAAAGGAAAGACAAAGTAAAATTGATTGTAGCAGAAATAAGAAATGTGGTAATTATCGCTAAATGTTCTTTTATTAACAGGAGGAACAAATAAATTACAATTATTTGCATTTAATTGTCGCAGGATGTTATGGCAATTGTCTTCCAAATGTGATTTGGATAGTGTCAACAAGCTAATGGTAAATACAAAAGAGCGATTACATAAATAAATATGTTCATATACATATATGTATGTACTATGTATATACGAAAGTTCACTGCGTTAAGAAACAAATGACCCAGTAGGAGAACGCTAATTCAAATACTATTTTAATGCAAGTTGAGAAAAAATTCGCGCAACTTTAAAGTATCCTAGAGTCCTTAATTCGAATTTAAGGTAAAAGTATTTAATTTTAGACAGAATGAAGCTTAATAAGAGTACTAGCAAATATCCGGCGTGCTTCGCTGCGCCTTAATCTATTAACTAAGAGTTTTGGATGTGCGGAGAGGGAGTACCAACACCAAAAAGGCGCAGCGAAACAAGTCGGATATTTGCTAGTATATACATAGATATAGAGGGAGAAGTATTGCATGAAGTTTAAATAGAAATAGCTCGCCTTGGGTACCACCTATAGCGTCGGACTATAAGTGCGATTTTCGGGAATAGATCAGTTCTTGCCTCACTTACCGCAAAAAAGTATCCTATAGGTTAATCAGGGCAATACGCAGCAAATTTCAAACAAACCGCGGACCATGAATGCGATTTTTTCGAATAGATGGGTCTCTGATCTACCTACCGGGAAAAAGTATCCTATGGGTTAATCCAGGTAATAGGCCGCCGGTCTAAACATTGGAGTAAAGTATACAACAACCGTCTTTGTGTATTTCGCTAAAATAATTTAAAGTTTCGCTTAAATTGGCTCAGATGTTTTTAAAGAAAACGGCAACAGGTTTGTTGTATGAGGCGTAGCACTGCCCAGCTTTCCAAAATATCATTAATTGCTAAATATCATTAATCAGCACCAAATAGCTGGATAGCCTTTTTTCCAAAAATAACACATATCCTCAGTCAAGGATTGTATGTACCAAATATTGTACATCTGCGTCAAATAGTTGAGGCGATATAACGAATTTGTCGAACTAAAACAAATTCCCAAAATAATATATATCCTCCTTTTCACCTAGGGGCCGCACGAACCTACTGTAAACATTTCATAAAGATCGGTTGAGCACTTTAAACGTCTATTAGAGTGACACACACGCATTAATTTTTATATATCAGACGGACTTTAAATTTTTGACCACGTGGAAACTCTTGTTGAAATATTTTTTGATGAAAGTGTTCTTAAATATCTTTCTGAAAGACCTTCCATTTGATATCTATACCGTAATATACCGTATCCAAAGTTGACCGAGTTATCGAGATACATATATCGAATTGTATCGATTCCTAGAAAGGCACTGTTATCACAATTACTTCAAAATTAGTGGAGTTATCGAATTTTGTTGAGTTAGAGCTTTTGAAATTCATTGAATTATCGATATGTATCAAATTATCGAAATTAATCGACAGTTGGGTAAATTCCAAGTCCTGCCAAAGTCCACCAAATACATTCAAATAAATAAAAAATTGTAGTAGCGTTTTAGTGCTAAAGCAGGATATTTTCCGGTAAGTAATTTTATACCTTAAAAATAAGTTAAACGACAGTTAGAAAACCTCTCCAAGGTCTTAAAAAAACTACAAACACTGTCGAATTTTGACAATAACTGGCACTCTAAGTTATTTAAGGAGAAAAACCAATATTTTTTTGATTTTTTTAATTTTTTTAGAAAATTGTTTGCTAAAAGGCAAACAGAATAACGCTAAAACCTCTCCGTTAGCAGATCTTTCAATTCGTCCGTCGAAATGCAGGAAGAAGTTCTCAACACAGTTTCCATTATTACTCTCGCGAAAAACTGTGGCGAGTTGAAACATAGTTGCCACAGTGTTGCCCTGTAAGTGTATACTAAATAATTTAAAGCATTTTTTAAAAGAAATTTTCAACCCTTCACTTTTGCTTCAGTCCTGGAAGGCTTTCGTTACCATCCCTCTTAACACATATTTCGAATTCAGTTAAATATTTTTTGCTCTAAAAGTCATACAGAATTTTTAACTGATATTTTGAGTTCCAACTATGAAATCGCTTTTTTTTCGATACTAAGTAATTTCATGATACCGTAAATCATCCTCTTCTCTCCGGATGCCTGCTGCCGACTTTACTTAGCACACAAATATTGAGCGCTTCCAGCATTAAGTACTCTACTCGTATTACGACAATAAATGCATTAGAAATATTTATCAACTCATTTTCAAGTCATTAACAGCTCATTATCGACTCATCATCTAGTCGACCAAAAACAAAATTGTTCATGGGGGAAGCAAATCATTTAGAGTGACACGAAATGCCGCAGGTCATGATGGGAAATAATAGCGAATAAGACAATTTTGTAGATATATTAAGCGAAGTTGGAGCAAAGAAGCAGACAAGCAAGTACATATGTATGTATGTAGCTGCTGCACAATAGCAGAGGGGAGACACAAGCATATCCATAAGATGACAAGATGCCGCTGATGGCCATTGTACAAGTATGTTGTATTAGAAGTCAATATTGAATAAGCTTGCGGCCGAAGGCTGAATACGTGCAATTAGGAGAGTACACATGTACGTACATAAATAATACAAGTGCTTAAATAACTGTTATATATATATATGTATTAGTAATTGCTTATTTATCTAAATAAATGCAGTACGTTCATATGTATACGAACATTGTCTAGAAAAAGCATATATTGTAGGAAAACAGACTAAATGGCATCTATTGTCACTATGAAATCATTACATCGACGATGGTTGTTTGCTATATATTTTTGTTAAATTGTACTTCTGCTATTATTTTTTTTTCGTAAATGTATTTATGTACTTTGATTTGTTTGCCCTTTTTGCTTTGTGCCAAATAGCGTACACAGTTTATTTGCAGTTCATGCTTTTGCCACATAATTTTGTACTCACAAATGTTTACTTAACCTAAATTGGCCAGCTTTCCGTGAAGGTCATCGTAATGAATATAGTCAAATAATGCGCACTTTTTGTTAACATGAAATATGAACTCAAACAAGAACAGTAGTAATAATTCGTAAATATCCAATTAAATAGTATTTGTGGTTCGAGAAAAACTGGTAGAATACAGAAAAGTTACACAATTTGCGACGTTTAAGAAAATTCGTCTGAAATCTTTTATTTTCCTCCAGCGAATCGTGTAATTTGTTCCCCTT